TTACCTCTGCCAATGGTTACACATTAATATTAAATAATCATTTATATAGTTTCAGGCAACATATATTTTATGTTTATAAATAGAAGTGGTCAAAGTCAAGAAATATATTTTAAGTAAGCTTATTGCCACTGATCTGTTAATGATACCTGTCTGTTTACCCTGCAATAGTTACAATATATTTAGGTCTATTTATTTTAAAGATCTCTGGGAGTCAGGACAGCACAAACTAAACCAAACATAAAAACAGTATAAAAATAAACTGAGATCATAACTGATCTATAATGGCACCCATAATCCTGTTAGGTCAAAAAGATTTGTTTTACAGCATTGCAAAATGTGTTGGAAAATTCAATAAGGGTTGGAGTCTGTAATACCTCCCAAGTGAACTCCAGATTCAGTTTTGACAAGATTGTTCCTGATGTTTCTCAATGGGCATTATTCAGGACTTGAAAAGTATTTAAAAATTTGTACTTTATATTAAGCATGGCAGGTCAGTGATTGTGAGGTTCATATTCTATAGCTGTGTAATTCCTGAGTCTTTTCAGAGGTATCTCGCTAAGAGCTTATTAGAGTAGTCTAAATCAGGGCTGTCAAACCCACGGCCCATGGGCCGGATCTTTTACGCACTGGCCACACCCATGCCTGGTTTAGCAAAGGGGGAAAAAGTCACGATATGTCAGGTGACGACACTCTTGACGATGTGTGTTTGACACCCCTGGTCTAAATCAAGTGATCAAGTTGTAAGATATCATTACCATAGCCATGAAACCACAATTAACATTGTTAAATTTGTAAATTCAGCCAATTTGTAGTGTTGCTTTTGTTTGTTTATTGTGCTTTATGATGTTGCTAATTCCTTTAATTGTTTTGTTATTTCTTTTTATTACTATTTTGGTTTTGTTATATTGTATTTTAATATTTTTATAATCCTTCACCACATATGTTACATGTGTGTGAGTGCATGTTCATTAATACGTACATGACAATAGTGCTTAAGGCAAAAGGCTAGAACTGGATACCATGAGTTCTAGTTCTGTATTAGGTACAAAGCCAGCTGGTGTCCTTGGAACAGTCACCATCTCACAGGCCTAGGAAGGAAGCAATGGCAAACCACTTTGAAAATCTTGGCAAGAAAACTTTACGGGTTAATCCAAGGAGTCTCTGAAAATTGGACATGATTGAACAGCAATTATCTCTCTGTATTAAAATTTTCCTTAAGTCAAGCTCTGTTCCTAGTCTCTTTACAGACACACTCATATATTTTTTATGGAACAAAAGCTATATTACATCCGATATATTGTTGTCATCATTGTGGATATTTTCATCTTCCTCACTCCTTTTTCAGCATATGTACTGACATTCTTTATTTGCTGTTTCTTGTAGACCAGTTTGGTCTTTCCAATAATCAATAAGCCTTCATGTTATAATAGCTTCAGTGCATCTTCTTCATTGTCATTCAGATATTCTTCCAATGCTCTTTATTGGAGTAGAAATCCAGGATGGGAGCAGTATTTGGCAGATGCCAAACTATACTTCCCTACCATTTCACCCAATGCAATAAATGTTGAAGGAAGCTGGGAAATACACTACGTTTAAAGTCTGTACATCTCTTCAATGCACAGAAATATATACGATACAAATAATATACATATACATACATGTAAGTACCCGCGAAAACTTAAGAAAACATATACATACATACATATATACATACATATATACATTGATGACACATTTGTGATTTGGCCCCATGGAAAAGAAAACCTAAACAATTTCCTAACACACCTAAACAGCACACACCCCAAAATCAAATTCACCATGGAAATGGAAACAAACAAACAACTACAATTCCTAGATGTACTAATCTACAAAAAAAACAGAGGGCACACTAGGACACACCATATACCAGAAGAAAACACATACCAACCGCTACCTCAGCGCCGAATCCCACCACCACCCAGCACAGATAAACTCTGTGGCCAAAACACTAATCGCCAGAACCAAACACTTGGCAGAAAAGACACAGATAAAGACTGAACTATGCACCCTGACTAAAGTACTGACAGCTAACAGTTTCCACAAAAGCAAAATCACCAGCTTGATCCACAAAAACACACTGAGACATAATGGAGACCTAGAAGATGAACAGACCTATGGAACAGCTGTCCTGCCCTACATAAGAGGTACTACAGACAAAATCAGTAAGATACGACACAGGCATCACATCAAGACTGCCTTCAAAACAGACAGAAAAATAGCAGCCATCCTAAGAAACCCCAAAGATAAAATTGACCTGGAAAACCAAGGCATATATGAAGTCCCCTATGCATCATGACCTGCCACATACATTGGACAGACCAATAGAAGAATACGTACCCGCCTGGATGAACACAAAAATGCAGTAAAAAAGCTGGAACACACTTCCTCACTAGTCCAACACATGAAAGCCACAGGTCATAGCATCAACTTCAATGGCACCAAAACCCTAGCCACTATAGAAAACCCCAGCTACAGAATTATCAGAGAAGGCATAGAGATTGAAAAAAGACCTGAAAGCATGAATAGAAGAGATGAGTCCACCAGACTGTCAATTATCTGGAAGCCTGCACTCTCAAACAAACAAATATCCACACCACAAGCCAGCCAAACACAGACCAAGACTCCCAACCAATCAGGATGAAGAAAAAACCATTCTGGCACAGCAGTAGGCTAGCACCAAATTTAAAACAGAAACGGCTGTGAAAGTCTGACTCACAGACGAACACTATACAAGGGCCTGATGATGGCAGATGAGATTCTGCCGAAACGTTGCTACAACTTTAAAAACACAACTATAATGACGTGGGAAAATACCCGAACAAAGCTGAATACCATACATGTAAGTACCCGCGAAAACTTAAGAAAACAAATAGAGAGAGAAATATATATATATAGAAATATATATAGAAATATAAGAATAATATGGAGGAAAGAACCCAAGCGGTCAAATAAAGGATCAAATAAAGGATGATAAACACCAATATGGTCAGTATTGATAAATAATTAGTATATGGAGATAAAGATTCATCAATCTTATTTCTGCTTATGAATTTTCCATTGTTCATTGAAGAAGTTGATCTATGATATCTTTCTATGTTGTTATTTGTGATGACTAATGTCAAACCCATTATCAGATTTTTTGCCACCATAGACACATAACTTTTCCCTTACAATCACTGTTTGAAGATAAGTGTACAGATTTGAAAAAGAAATAATGCTATTAGAATATATTTATTTTCAGCATATGCTGCAATTAAACTGGGTATTTAATTAGCTTGTATTTGTTTCTTATTTCTTATTTATCTACTTTGGCTTACATTCAAGTTTATCACCACCCATATAGTAGTTCTTAAAATGTTTATATAGACTTCAAGGTTTCATGTAAAATAAATTATTGCCAATTTATTAGTGAGAGTTGAAGATTACTGTGTATTGTTCATAGCTTCTAGAGACATATACTATTCATCATGTAAATTAAAATCATGGAAATATATTTATTGTCTATTTCAGTAAAACCACTAATAGGAGTAAAAAATAACTACCATAATAAAGTACATACTAGAAGGCATACCATTTCAACAGACAGCATTTTAATCTTAAAATTGTATTAATTTCTGAATATTATGAGGGCAAGAAAGAAAATATGGTGACATAGCAAAAAAAAAAAAGCAATGTGAGTATACATGACATATGGCTGTAATGTTAATTAACAAGAGCTAAGCTTTTGTTAAGTCCACAGAGGCCATCAGATTTAAGGGAAAATATGCTTCCCTTATAAAATACTTGTGGGCATGGTATTTGGAAGTATAATTACTGAAAATTCTTCATATGTACTATAAAACCCTAAACAAGGTTGACCTTGGGGACAGAATATGCTGATATACAACAACAATAATAAAAATCCTAAATATTTTTTGAAATAGATAATACTAAAGATGGAGTTAATTATTCTATGATTTAGTGAAGATCCAAGCCTCAGTTTAGTTAGATGGCAATATGGCATGATATTTCACAATGTTGTTATTGCTATTCTTCTGCTTAATGTATTTCCTTACCACCATAATATATCCATTTACCAATCAGCATCAATAGACACAGAGTTAAACCACATTTACACACTATTCACAACAGACAATAAAAAGCTGAGAAGGATATAAAAAGACCAGAACATATTCTCTCCAATAGCCAACCTACAGATAAGCAGATATTAGCATCAAACAGCCAATCAAGCAAAAAACAATACCCTAATCAAGGCACTACCAAGGAGAAAATATTCCCATGAAAATTGGCAAGGTAAATTACTAAATAGGAAACAAATGCCTTTTTTACTCATTCCGTTGATGTTACTAGTTGGATAATAAATTATCTTCAAGCAAGCTGATATACTATCAAAGACTTAATTCAACCTTGAACTACCTATGTTGTCTTCTATTTTTACAAGTTTTACTTGATCAACCAGAAAGTTCTTTTTTCTCTTGTTATGAAAATACTGAGTTCATCTCCTTGTATTCAAGAGCTGTGATTAATTCTGTATCTACCACCTTCCACATGGTCAGATTCATGAAATATTGTTGGACACATCATCTTTTGGAAGAGCAACTAGAAGAAAGGTATCACAGTTTCCTTTTGGGAAAAGTAAATATCATTAACAATGTGCCATCTCTTCTGATACTTCAGGAATTTGATGCACTGGTGTCTAGAAATCATTACTGACTTCATATTTCCAAATGTATCTATCTGTTAATCTAGTGTTTCAGACTTTATACAAGGCAGATGAATGGGCTGAGCATCTAACTGAAATGTTATATATTATAGATGTGTCAGGCTAATGAATATTAAGGACAATAGTTTGATTTTATAAGAAGATTTGTATCATAGGTTACACAGAATATTTCTGTTTATAACGTTCTTAGTGGAATTGGCCTTAACATTATTTCACATTTCTTTCTCTGTCTCTTCAGATTGCGTTTTCACAGCACAACACCATCATGGACCTGGTGCAATTTTTTGTTACTTTCTTCAGGTAGTGTTTCAACTTTTAATCATTTATAATATAATCTGCTAAATCACATCAGGTCAGTCTTTTGATATTGTAACCCGTGGTTGCTCTTTTTAATGCTGAGACACTTTGTGATAGCATAGAAATATGTTATCACGATAATAGTAAATACTTTTATAATTATTCTACAATATATAATGTACATATTGTATGCACTTATGCAAAGGTTGTAGTTCATATTTTATGTTAGCTATTTACTTGGCAAACAGTAATCTTTGCATACTGAATATTCTTCCATACTTAAGGATAAGATTATATTACATGGTATGTTTCTGATTCCCCCCACCCCAGCTTTTATTTATTTTTTCAGTGGGTTTTTATTTACAGGATAAGATGTTAAGCCCCTTTTCATTCTATAGAGTTATTAGGGAAGATAACCTGTGGCTTAATGTGTAGACTAGATTCATTCAACATAGTATTTTGGTTCAACTGTGTTTGATGAATAAATCACAACTGTTCAATACATTAACTTGTTAACAAACTATAAGGGCTGTTTCCATATAGCAGATTAATCATATTTTGGTGTAGTGTGCATGGTCAACTAGGCTATAATGTTATAGGAATATAGCAAAGAATGTATTATTTTAGTGAAACCATTGTTAAAATTGGTTCTAGCACAACATTAATCATGGTGAAGCCTGAGAATGAAAAATTGCATTGAAGACTTGGAAACACAGAATATAATATCTATGAATCTTTTAATGTCCTTTATTGTTTTGTGGATAAATATACATTCAGTGTTATTTTTGCATTTATTTTGAAAAATTCCAGTAAATCAACTGCAATATGAAAGTTGGATGCTTAACCTTAATTGTTAATATTGCTGATGGTTTGCCATGTGAACTCGACTTAAAATGGGATAGTTCCAATAATACGTTAAATGACACCTTGATTCTATATTAACAAGGAGACTTTCTTGTATTTTTTTAAAAAAAGCAGGTGGTGTTAAATTCACAAGTTTATTACTTGTCTGCTGCTTAGTGGCATATATTGCAGAAATATAACACAAAAGTTACCTTTCATATCTCCAGTTTCATTATATTATTTGATGCTTTCAGGGGTCCTTCCATTTATGTTGTAGATAAGTCTGAGTGATATTCATACAGCAGCAGCCTCTGCAGTCCACTCATATGTCATTTCATTCAGGGATTAGGTAGAATTAATTAAGAATGCCAAATATACATATCAAAATAGAAGCCCATTTTATGAGTGGAATTTGGATAATGCTACAGGAAACTACAACTTGTTTTAAATTTTATTTTATATTTTCATTAAACAATTTTATTTTTTTGCTTTGTTTTTGCTTTTGTGTTTCTTGAGTGTGTACATATAAAGAAAATGTGATGAGCTCAACATTAAACCTTACAATGTTTGTTTGAATGGATAGGTCTGCTGCAGTCAAAATAATAAAATGTACTGTTTCTTTATAGTTTATATTGTTTATATGTGTACAATAGATATTTTCTTTATATCATTTTAGAAAACATATTATCAAATCCATTAGTATTTGTGGTTTATTATATCTCCGCTTTCACAAAAAGATAATCCTCAATATTTTAATCCACATGGAAACTGTCCTAGCAAATGTTGAATTGCCTGTGACTCCTTCTTTTCCTCTAGTTCATGGGTGCCAAACCTGCAGCGTCACATTACTGTCATGTGACATTTTGCGACATTTTTCCCTTTGCAGACCTAAAGTGAGCCTGGCCTGCATGTAATGCATCCGGCCCATGTGTTACACTCCTGCTCTAGTTCATACAATGGTACAATGCACATGATAATTTAAATTAATATATCTCCAATTCTAACTCTTAACTCGATCTGAGAACCAGTGTCCTGTAAGGCAGGGGCCTCCAACCTTGGCCACTTTAAGCCTGGAGGACTTCAACTCCCAGA